TTGTGCTCAGTATTATCACATCCGGAAGTTTATCAAAGGTCCACTGCTCGGTCGTTTCGGACACAAAATAATCCTCATTTCGTGCTGATGAACAAAAAAAGCAGCACTTGTTGTCCCAGAAAAAACATTTATTGAATGAGTCACTACGCCATCGACTGTTGTGGAGACTTGATTTCCACGAATGCAGGTGACTTGGGCGGTCCGCTCTGGAACAGCACCTCGATGTCCTCGAGCATCATACCCTTCGTCTCCGGGCAGAAGAAGTACACGAAGATACCGCAGATACAGCACAGACCGGCGAATAAGAAGAACACACCGTTGATGTTCAAGTGCGGGAAGAGCTTGACCACTTCCGTCATGACAGCACCCATGGCCCAGTTGGCCGCCGTGGAGAGCGCCACAGCAGGCGCACGCACACCCAATGGGAAAATCTCGGCCGGGTAAATCCAGCACACGGGGCCCCAGGAGATGGCGAAGTTGAAGACGAAGAAGGCCGAGCCCACACAGATGAACCAACCACCCACACTGGGACAACCAGCGTTATCGACGTTGCCGTCGCAAATGGCAGTGAACAGGATGGCTGCGAACAAGTGGCCGACCACCATACCCACGGCACCGATGAGCAGCAACTGACGACGACCAAACGTGTCTACCCAGCGCATGGCAGGGATGGTACTGAGGAAGTTGACACCCGACAGGAAGAAGGCCGAGTAGATACCGGCGTTGGTGATGTCCTTGAAAATCAGCGCGCCGTAGCTGAAGATGGGGTTGATACCAGTAGCCTGCTGCAGGACCTGGAGAAGCATCGCAATGGCTACACGCTTGAAAATAGACGGCTCCAGTAGCTCACCCAGACCCTTTGAAGCCGACAACTCCTCTTCCACCTGGTCACCGATAACCTGCAGCTCGCGGCCGACATTGTCGGTCTGACGGAGACGCTTGAGCACGCGCTCCGCCTCCTCCTTTCCCTTGTGCAGGTACGTCCAGCGAGGACTTTCCGGCACGAAGAAGATGCCGAGCATGACGACGATCGGGGCAGCCATGGCCACTCCGTTGGTCGTACGCCAGCCGTGCGCACGGTTCTCCACGATGATGTTGACGACGTTGGCCAGGAAGAGACCCGTCACAACGGTCATCTGCATGAACCCAGAGAGCAGACCACGCAGCTCCTTGGGGGCCATCTCGGCACCAAACAGAGGCAGTGAGAACGACGAGTTGCCCACACCGAAGCCCTGAATCACACGAGCGATGTACATGAGCGTGTGCTCGTGTGCCTTGTTGAAGCACACCCACGAGGTACCAATGCAGAAGAGCAGACCGGCCGTGAAAATGGTCCAGCGACGACCAAACTTGTCGGCCACGATGCCACCGATGAAGGCGCCAGCGAGACAACCCAGGTTGTAAGCCATGTTGTACCACACAGTGAAGTCCGTCCACTCATGCGGCAGGTTGGACGCGGAGTCGGTACATTGATCGTAGGTGAAGTTGTGCCAACCGACGCAGTAGTCGTTGATGAAGGAGTCCATGATGAGGGACGCCCGACGTCACACCCTGGTCATAGCCCGAAGAAGAGGCCACCCAGAGCGGCGAAGACGCACACAACGATAGCGTAATCGCCGCCGAACCCTCAGAAGAAAGACATCCGTCTTTGGTTGTGGAGATATCACCACGACGTCAGCCAGCGTTGGCAAAGTAAAGATTAAAACGCGGCGAGTTGACTAGAATGCAGCAAATTGCAGAATGAGTTTGAGAGCCGAGAGCGTCTTGGTGAAATGTGGATCGGGGTTGAGTAGGGGCGACGGGCAACGGCAGCGGTTGCGTAGCTTACTAACGGTCGCTTGACATGTGAAGCTGAAGCGTGACCTTGAAGTTGTCACCGAGTTGGGATCGCCGGGACGTCGCGTGCTTTACCACTTGATTTATTCCCATGCATTTTAGATGACGTTAATACCACGTGATATTCGCAGTACGAATACAAAATCATGAGCCAAACGTAGCGTTAGCCTGTAATGTTTGGACGGCTATGCTGCTCACACATACGCACAGACTTGCCAATTTAAAAGGACGTACAGAAATCTGCCTGAATAAGGAACGGGGTTTCAACTAATAACCTCGCAATTTTTATAGTCGGGAAAGATAAAGGGAAATGGGATAGTGATGGGCAAGGTACTGACAAAACAATCCAGGCACTGACTTTGATTTCAATTTAAAAAATGGCGCGCAGTAGGTGATCCTCCTTCGCTTCAAGCCCTACGAGCCGAACTTCATTCCTACATTTACATTCAAGATCACTATCCGACTGCGTCCTCAGCACCCCCATGTCCTCCAATCGTCTCCGCCTCACCTGGTCCGAGAAGGTAGCCATCCTCAAGAAGGCTGCTCGCTCACCTAGTCTGTCGTAAAATGAGCTAGCTGAGTGGGCGGTTGAAGAGTTTGGACTTCCAACGGCCCCTGGCAAAACGACAAAATACCGCATACTCAAATCAAGTGCTGTGCTGCGCGGACGGCCTGTGGAGAAGGCTGTACGATCTAAAGTTAGCGCTTTCACGATTCAGCAGTGCTGCTGAATCAGCACTGCTGGAATATCACTTTGGTCTCTTTCAAAAGTCGAATCTTCAATTTATCCTAACTTAATTCAATACATGCACATCATAGTCTGTTTCTAGCGAGGCATTGTCAGCTTATGCAATCTCTTTCTTAATTTATATCAGGCGTTCCTTATTCAGGCAGATTTCTGTACTCCTACGCTCTGGACTAAATTTACAATATTGTAGCTCCATTGGCCATCGCAACGCGCAACTTGCGAGGCTGCAACAACCCCAAACATCAAAATGCGTGGACTTATAAGTTATTAAATAATGTAAGTACATTGTGTAGAGACGACTCGTTAGCAGAATCGTTTCTGTGCCACGAGATTTTAATCGGGATACAGATGAGATCTGCTTGCACCGGTTATTTTGCAGTACTGTATGTTCTTCTTGGGCTCCGGGATAAAATACATGTACATGTAGTATTAAATAGTACACTGAAGCAGCACTCTACTTTGTTATTTAGGAGGAAACACAGGGCCGAAAGGCTCATTCATAATACATAATATGTATATATTTGTATAAAATATGTTTAAACTAAGCAGTACAGTACCGTACCTCTATTCCAACTGCACGATTTTTCAAGCGGCACAATAAATCAAGTGGTCTTGGACGCTGGCTCAGGACAGCAGGCTGCTGAGTCAGCAGCCTCTACCTCGGTACATGTACATGCAACTGAGGCAGTGACTGTTGGTCCCGGACCGGAATCACTTCCACTGAAAGCTTCAGCTGAGCTTGGCATAGAGTGCCTAAACTGAACACTGCGGGACGTTTGAAGATTATTTCAAAGTTGAAGCTCCGACGCTTCAGTTTCTGTTCACAAGTCAGCGAGATGTAGACGAGCCTGAATAAAACCCGCCACTATAATTAATGCAGATGAACCCTTCGATAGTAATCCCTGCTCATCGAATACTCTCCGACAAGAATAAAACATCGGTTCTCGAAGAATAAGCTAAAAGCGCTCTCACCCCTCCCTCGGAGTATGGTATTCAAAATTACGAAAAATAACGTGCTTAGCTATGGGAAAGTCTCTATTGCGCAGCACGTCCAAAGCAAGCAAAGACACTTGCTGCTTGCTCGCTTAGTTCGTCTCGCAGCTCTCTCTGCATCGCTCTATCCCCGTGAACACTTCCATACGACACGCCCGCTGAATATACTCGAATAAGCAGCTTTGCAATCCACTTGAGATGCTCCTTAATATCCGCAGAATCGAGCTCAACGTCATCATTCTCTCCTTCGCCTCCAGTATCCTCGCAGGCACCCATCGACTTATTACTCGCATTTCGCAGAAATCTTCATCAGCGGGGTCGTCGCACATTCAGCAGCTGTGTGCATCACATCGGATCGGACGCATGTGAGCGCAACAGCATTTTAGATAGGTCGTCGATTACGGAGTTTTCCTCCTCTGGCTCACTGTATTTGCACGCATAGTAATCGAGTGGACCCGTGTGTTTTCAGCACTTAACAAATATCGAGGGCAGCATAAAATTCCAGCAGTCGATGCTCCATACCACCGCTTGGCGGACGTCAACCTTGTATAACTTGGTCGCTTTCGACATGTCCATCGGCTTCGAAGGTATACCTGCTGAACTACCCCCACAACAAGAATACCCTTATCTAGGAATAAAAAGCTGGCTCCGGCGCTATGACTATCGAGGGGTTCATACGTAGTACATTTAGTAAAATCACTTTAGTTTTTTTAAAAAGCCTATCGGTATTTTTACACGTGAGATATTGCACTGCTCAAACGAAAAAGAACGTGTACATGTACTCAATATTGTGGACGGATGGGAAATGCTTTGCTGCATCGGCCATCGAAATTCGTAGCACTACAGTTTCTGCTTGGATCATCCAATACATGTACAGTACTGTAGGGACCAAGCAGAAAAACTTCAGAAAGCGTTGATTGGCATGGCCAACTAAGCATGTATTTTTAACGAGCGACGCAACCAAATTGTAATTTAAAAATAAAATTGCGGTGGCACTACCATTCTGTACCAAATCGTCCATATGCTAACCTGCTTGAAAACAAACAGCAGACGTGCATGTGTCACCGCGGTGCCAAATAAATCAAGTAACAGGGCGATTGGTTTCGGACAGAAACGTCTCGAGACGCGCAGAGGCGACCCCAAGTCGCTGCCAACTTCAAGGTGTCACGCTGCAGCTTCAACCGAATGGCGATTTGGTTCGCCCCACTCAGCCTGGCACCACGTACGGTGCAGTACATTACCGGCGAACCCGCTGTGAGCGGTCGCCCTCTCGCCAGCCAAGCCTGTCGGACCCAGCCGTCAAGACTGTCCCCGGCGGCAATAGCTCACTCCACCTTTTCCTGCTTCTTGCACAGGCACATTTGCCTTCGCACGATTGCAACGTCCTCTATTCAGCTACAACCTCAGCTAACTTAACTTTATCATGGCTGCTGGCGTCGTGGTGAATGTCCACAACAACGACGACGACATTCCTACTGAGGGCTCGCGCACTTACGCTATCGTTGTGTGCGTCTTCGCCGCTCTGGGTGGCCTCTTCTTCGGCTATGACCAGGGTGTGACGTCGGGCGTCCTCATCATGGACTCCTTCATCAACGACTACTGCGTCGGCTGGCACAACTTCACCTACGATCAATGTACCGACTCCGCGTCCAACCTGCCGCATGAGTGGACCGACTTCACTGTGTGGTACAATATGGCTTACAACCTGGGTTGTCTCGCTGGCGCTACTTCCGGTGGCATCGTGGCCGACAAGTTTGGTCGTCGCTGGACCATTTTCACGGCCGGTCTGCTCTTCTGCATTGGTACCTCGTGGGTGTGCTTCAACAAGGCACACGAGCACACGCTCATGTACATCGCTCGTGTGATTCAGGGCTTCGGTGTGGGCAACTCGTCGTTCTCACTGCCTCTGTTTGGTGCCGAGATGGCCCCCAAGGAGCTGCGTGGTCTGCTCTCTGGGTTCATGCAGATGACCGTTGTGACGGGTCTCTTCCTGGCCAACGTCGTCAACATCATCGTGGAGAACCGTGCGCACGGCTGGCGTACGACCAACGGCGTGGCCATGGCTGCCCCGATCGTCGTCATGCTCGGCATCTTCTTCGTGCCGGAAAGTCCTCGCTGGACGTACCTGCACAAGGGAAAGGAGGAGGCGGAGCGCGTGCTCAAGCGTCTCCGTCAGACCGACAATGTCGGCCGCGAGCTGCAGGTTATCGGTGACCAGGTGGAAGAGGAGTTGTCGGCTTCAAAGGGTCTGGGTGAGCTACTGGAGCCGTCTATTTTCAAGCGTGTAGCCATTGCGATGCTTCTCCAGGTCCTGCAGCAGGCTACTGGTATCAACCCCATCTTCAGCTACGGCGCGCTGATTTTCAAGGACATCACCAACGCCGGTATCTACTCGGCCTTCTTCCTGTCGGGTGTCAACTTCCTCAGTACCATCCCTGCCATGCGCTGGGTAGACACGTTTGGTCGTCGTCAGTTGCTGCTCATCGGTGCCGTGGGTATGGTGGTCGGCCACTTGTTCGCAGCCATCCTGTTCACTGCCATTTGCGACGGCAACGTCGATAACGCTGGTTGTCCCAGTGTGGGTGGTTGGTTCATCTGTGTGGGCTCGGCCTTCTTCGTCTTCAACTTCGCCATCTCCTGGGGCCCCGTGTGCTGGATTTACCCGGCCGAGATTTTCCCATTGGGTGTGCGTGCGCCTGCTGTGGCGCTCTCCACGGCGGCCAACTGGGCCATGGGTGCTGTCATGACGGAAGTGGTCAAGCTCTTCCCGCACTTGAACATCAACGGTGTGTTCTTCTTATTCGCCGGTCTGTGCTGTATCTGCGGTATCTTCGTGTACTTCTTCTGCCCGGAGACGAAGGGTATGATGCTCGAGGACATCGAGGTGCTGTTCCAGAGCGGACCGCCCAAGTCACCTGCATTCGTGGAAATCAAGTCTCCACAACAGTCGATGGCGTAGTGACTCATTCAATAAATGTTTTTTCTGGGACAACAAGTGCTGCTTTTTTTGTTCATCAGCACGAAATGAGGATTATTTTGTGTCCGAAACGACCGAGCAGTGGACCTTTGATAAACTTCCGGATGTGATAATACTGAGCACAAATAAACGGTAGCTTGCTGAGATAAAATCTGATTTATTTGCAAATCCTATATGGTCCATCCCCGCGAAAACAGGGTGCAATACTGTACTACAGCGGAAGGTGATGAAGCATGCTATTCGAATAGTATTAATTCAAGGACTATTACTGGATAACTAAGTCCCATAGTTTTTTACTATGGTCCTTTTTTATCCAGCGCATCGTTACTACTACACCCTACTCCACTTCAAAGTGGTGAAGTAACCAAAACGTTATAAAAATTATTTTCAACTTTTACATTATGTCACTTCACAAATTTGGGCTAACTTAGCCCTGTGTTCGGAATAAACACTGGATCACCAGTGCAAAAAGCGGTTAGACCTGGACTTGATCTCCACGAATTCGGGCGATTTGGTTGCCTTGTTCTTGTTGAACAGCCCCTCGATATCCTCAAGCATAATGCCCTTGGTCTCCGGACAGAAGAAATACACGAAGACCAGACAGATCAGACACAGACCTGCAAACAGGTAGAACACGCCATCAATATTAAGCGACGGGAAGAGCTTGACGACTTCTGTCATGACAGCACCCATGGCCCAGTTGGCTGCCGTGGACAAGGCCACACCCGACGCGCGAACGTTGAGTGGGAAGATCTCGGCCTGGTAGATCCAGCACACGGGCCCCCAAGATATGGCGAAGTTGAAGACGAAGAAAGCCGACCCGATGCAGATGAACCAGCCTCCCACCGTCGGGCACCCGGCGTTGTCGACGTTGCCGTCACAGATAGCTGAGAGCAAAATGGCGGCCCAGAGGTGACCGATTATCATACCCACGCCACCGATCAGCAGCATCGTGCGACGACCGTAAGTGTCCACCCAACGCATGGCCGGGATGGTGCTGAGGAAGTTGACGCCCGAAATGAAGAGTGCCGAGTATCGACCCGATTTCGTGATGTCTTGGAAGATCAGCGCACCATAACTCATAATGGGGTTGATACCTGTTGCCTGCTGCAGCACCTGCAGTACCATAGCGATGATCACGCGCTTACGCACGCTCGGCTCCAAGATCTCCAACCAACCTTTACCTTCCGCCTCTTCCTCTGCAATTTGGTCACCAATCACTTCCAACTCATGGCCCACATTGTCAGTCTGACGTAGACGCTTGAGGATCTGCTCGGCCGCCTCCTTCCCCTTGTGTTTGTAGGTCCAACGTGGACTCTCCGGCACGAACCAGATGCCCAGCAGCACCACAATCGGCGGCGCCATCGAGATGCCGTTGGTTGTCCGCCAGCCACGGTCGTGGTTGTATACAATGATGTTGACGACGTTAGCGAGCAAGAGACCGATGACCACAGTCATCTGCATGAAGCCCGAAAGCATACCGCGTAGCTCCTTGGGAGCCATCTCGGCGCCGAAGAGTGGTAGCGAGAAGGACGAGTTGCCGACACCGAAGCCCTGAATAATGCGAGCAATGTACATGAGCGTGTGTGCCTGTGCCTTGTTGAAACAGACCCAGCACGTGCCCCCACAGAAGAGCAGACCGGCGCAGAAGATGGTAGCGCGGCGACCTAGCTTGTCGGCCACGAAGCCACCGATGAAGGCGCCCACGAGACAGCCCAGGTTGTATGCCATGTTGTACCAGACCGTGAAGGTGGTCCATTCACTGGGGAGATCGGACGTGGAGCGTGTGCACTGTTCGTACGTAAAGTTGTGCCAGCCGACGCAGTAGTCGTACAGGAACGAATCCATGATGAGCATGGAGGACGTCACGCCCTGGTCGTAGCCAAAGAACATACGACCGAGCGCGGTGAAGACGCAGACGACGATAGCATAGGTGCGCGAGCCCTCCGTCGGCGTGTCGTCAAGGTCGGGATGTTGTGTGCTCACGATGGGTCCGCCCGCCATGGTATCTGGATTACGAGCGAATACTTAGACACTTGACGCTTCTTGCTTGCAGAGAAGAAGGGAGAGTGAGAATGAGGCGGTCATTACCAGCAAGAAATATGTCGTCCAACCTACTTAACGGCCGAGGGCAGATGTCGCGCGAGACTTACATGTCCGCAGCGCGAGCTTGAAGTTGGCGGCGGTGGCAGCTTCTCTCCGCTTGATTTATCCAAGCCGTCGAGTAATACCCCTCTTCGTTTTATTGCTCTACATGTGAGAGTCTCACTGCAACATCACGCAGATTTGAGTTTTTTTTCTTTTTTAGGTTACAGCTCACTTTTCACTATTGCCTGACGTTGAAGTTGAGGCGCCCGGCACACGATGCACTCAGAGCATTGCAGCTTGCAATTTCCAAGTGTAAGCATACCGTACTGTGTAAATCGTAAGTAGTTTGCATTTTACTGAGCATTATCCCCATACATTTTAAGCAGTCTTGGCGAACAGGTTTGCTTAGAGCAGCTGGTAGCGATGTGAATTTATAATTATCGAAGCTTTTTTTTATTAAATTTTTGATACTTGTCTGCCCGGCACAGGTTTCTAATTCGAGCGTCCACAACAAGAATGAGGGGCTTCAATGCATGCCAGACAACGAGACTGGTATCGGGACGGCAGCTCACCCACGAGCACCTTGCTCTCAGACACGATCCGAGCGTGCCGTATGTCACCTCACCCTAGTTGATATCGATCTACTTTACTTAAAAAATGATGAGCTCACCTGCGTTAAGATCGTGCATGAAGGCTCTTGGCTGCCGCGTTGTGGGCACTACTGCACGCTACGCGTCGCTGGTAAGTATGGAGTGGCTAACGGACCTCTAATTAAATCAAGTACGCTGGCATCACTCGTGTTGCTAACCTTTTAACCTAAAAGTCAAAACGACTTTTGGGTGGCGTATGCTTTCACGAACACAATGCTGCAGGTTTGACTACTAAATTGCACGAGGCCATAAATTAAAATCAGTAGCCCCGCTGTGAAGCGTTGATCATGGCACTCACTCTCAACGCACCATGACGAAATATGACCTGCTGCTAAGCAAGGCGCCTGAACATGGGAGCGCGCGATAGTAGGAAGACGAACTATAAATTCTCGTACACATGTACTTGCCGGGCGCATCAACTTCAACCTCGATACGTAATCACTTCGTATTAGACTTGGTGCGCCAGCGATGCCTCAACGCTGGAAGCAAGCCCAGACGTTGTTTTACTTCCATAAACTATCAGGTACATGATAGCCTCACAGGTCTTACGAAATACGCAGTACTACCTTGGTAATGTGATAGCATACAGTAAGAAATAGCGCTTTACTAATTTCTTAGCGGGTTCGCTCGGCAACAAGGCTGTTTTGTGCATTGGTCCACAAAAAAGTGCGCGCGGTTTACAGTAAATCCTGTCCAAAATGAATCTTGAGAAACCTGATATCCTGTCGTACATGATATTTTTTAGGTCCACCGAGTCCGTTCCCAGAGATAGCTATGGAGTAAACTTGATATTGCTCAAATGACAAACCTGATACGAAATTTTGAGGACAGCAAGTCGATATTATTGACTTGCTGTCCTAAGAATTTCGTATTATGTGTAGCCTACAACTATCCGTGGAAAAAATTGCAATTAAATTTATGTCAGTATTCAGAAGCCTTGAAATTGTTTGTATCATTCTTCGACACACAAACAATTTGTGTGTGCTCTCGATGCAGTCGAAGTCGGCAGTCTCAAATACATGTATGCACGTACCAAAAATTGTTGCTAGTCCGGAGTAATTTGTAATGTGGCGCAATGATCCACTAACAAGGGGCAACAAAAAAGACAGAAACCCATCTAAACTCCATGTTATTTGTGAAAATGATCATGTGTTTTTAGAGACTGCGATACTCCATTGCGTTTTCACGACATGGAGTCGAAATGAGTGGAGGTCTACACATTACGTATACAGTACATGAAATTGCGGCAAACGGTACAACTAGGTGGAGAAATGTGGAACGATTTGGTGTTTCATAAGAAATGATTGCTTATCCATGAGTCCAGGAGAGATTTACATACTTAAATCAATAAAGACAGTCTCAGTATGATATGCCTGTGTGCCTCCACGTTAGACCCGGAAACGCACAGCGAAGTACATTTGCATTTTATGCTTCTTAAAGCCAGCATGCCTCCGCACCTCGTTCATATACGCTGATAGTGGTGCCTTATAAAGACTTTATCACTCTAGCACTGGCTCGTTTACTGAAGACGATCTGAGTAACATGATATGATGCTATAGCTGATAGAGGATCATCCACGGGTCATATTAGGTAGGAAATGTTTTACCGCATTTCATTGCAAGGCAGAGCGAAGCAATTGTGTGTTTTTAAACCAGATTTTAGTACCGGTATATCGCGTCCTTACCGGTATACACTCTTCCCCGCTTGCTGCTGGTCACCCGTGGCGCGTTCACTCACTTCGTATTTGGAAGAACAAGCAGAAAGCAGCGAAGAACTAAGGGGAGATTTCCACTTAACATCGCAATGACAACTCAAAAAGCCTCCGAAGCAACCAGCGCCCCCAACTCGCCGGCGTCCAGGGCAGGTACTGTATCCTCGGACAGCATAGCTCCGGGCAGTAGAACCAACATCATGGATGTCACCGGCGGCGTGGAGCCATGAGCAACCGCCTCAGTGCGCAGTACGACGGAGTCCCTTCTTTTTGCGTACGAGCAAGCGCGCTGCGTCACGCGGAGCGACCGCTGGGGCACCGACCGAAGTCCGCCAGGGCAAGAAGAAGACTACAAAGAGTGTGGCCTCGACGAACGTGTCTGGTACAGGGCGCAAGAAGACCGACGAAGGTGCAGACGACGCGGCAGACCAAGACCTGGAAGAAAGGACGGCTCCACCAAAGCCGAAGAGGTCGAAGAAGGCTGCACCGCCCGCGGAGGCCACGTCTATCGGCGAGACCGCGGCACCTACGAGGTTCGAGCATGTTTCGGGCTCTCGAGAAGGCTTCGACCTGATCGAGTTCATGGTGTCCTTCGAGCACAGTTGAGGCACGGTGACGGGCAGCGTACCTACTCCTGCGCTCCACGCAGAAGACCAGCCTGACGCAGTATCTGCTGCAGCCCCCACGGTTCCTGAGGCGAGATTAATGGCTGATCTGTGCGCCCTACGCGAAGAGGAAGATCGTCTGCGCACGATTCACCGTCAATGTCGCAATCGCTGGGACGGAGCTCCCCAATGCATGATGACGGCGCCCAACTCGAAGGGAGAGCTTCCCCCGCCTGGACGTACGTTTCTTCTCTAGTGCAATTGTTTTAGAAGTTCGGAGAAGACGAAAGGTTACTTCAGTCCGCCGCAAGTCCATCTGCCGCGCTAGTGAAAAATTTCTTTAGAGGGCCGCCGTTTTGCTGATAAAATCCTCTCTTCACCTGCCGATGTACCGGGTTCCCCCCCTTCCAGGCTCACCCGAACCTGCGCTAGTGGATCGAGACGAATTACGTTTTAGGCTATACAGCCTCCTTTGACTATACAGTCCAGGTCGATCATACAGTCACCTACGGCCATACAGCCTTTCTTGACTATACAGTTCGGGTCGACTATACACTCACCCACGGGTATACGGCCTGCTTTGACTATACAATCCATGTCGTCTATACAGTCATCCAAGTATACACGGCCTCCAGAGGGTAGCCGATCCAGGTCAGACGATCTGTATACGAGCGAGCTTATACGACGAAACGGCCGATGCGATAATACGAAGTCTGCCAAGGTCAAAATCCCGATGAATCCTGATGCATCTGCATGCATCCCTTCGACTTCGGGTACAAGTCAAGCAAATCCAGCCAAGCTACACTCGGCTAACTGCGATGGCACGTGAAACATACTTCGGATCGGAAGCGCCCCACGTCGCCCTATAGTCTCAAGTCAAACAGCGGACCAAATGCATGAGAATGCACGCCGGCGATGGGACTTGAACCGGGAAGCTCAATCGGCTACGCTCGGGAAGGTCATATCCAGCTTCGGCATAAAGACACCAGCGTCTGGTTTCCCTGCAGCACAAGAAGGCGCTGATGGACATGTGTACTTGCTTTATAAGCCGCTGCAACGCTCTCTGTCGGAGCTCGCACTCCGTTCAGCTTTACCTACCGGTGTTCGTGGAGCTGGTTCGGGGGCAAAAGGAGAGGGACTATCGCCCGAACAAGAATCTGGTTCTTGGCGAGCTATGCAGAGAATACAAGCACTT